TCCAGCATTCCTTTTTTGGTTGTACTATCTGACTCAACTTCATTATTTGAATCTATCTCACTTTCACTATTAGACGATATTTCTTCCTGACAATTATCCAAATATTTGTCAAGAATAGTAATAAAATTGTAATCACGTCGCCGAACAGCTACCATTAAAGCTGCTCTTGCTTTACCCCATGCCTCTCCATATAGTTTACGTTCATCTATAATTTTACGATTTCTATCCTGCACTTCACATGTGGTATCTTGAACTAAAGCATTAAGATAAGGGACTGAATTATCACAACTTATTGTTACTGATTGTTCTGTCTCAAATTTTTGTGCAATTAAAAATGGTTCATGATTTGAGTCATTACTAGTTTTATTAAACCATCGTGCCCGTATTAATTGAATATGAAATGTTGCAGTTCGTGTACATAGCATGACTTGAAAGAAATGGCGACATATAATTCCACGGTTACAGTTATCAAGACAAGAACATAAATGCAACCCATTATCTAAGAGTATTACAAAATGTCGTATGTCACTTGATGTAATACGTCGAATTCCCCACATTTCAACAATATTATCCTTATTAACAAGATTCAGAATCGCTTTGGCAACAATATCCGTATAACTTTGATTTTCAAATATGGTAGGATCATTAAAATTGACCTGCAATTAGTTGATATATTAGGATTAGCATTAACAACATATAAATTACAGTACTAACATTAACGTATCGGTATTCTTTTATATAGATTGGTATCGAAATTCAAAATTTCCTTTTTTGAATTTCAACTACTTACTGCATGATATCTTTGCAATTCACTTTGTGTTACTATTACAGCATGATATTGCAGCGATTGTTTTATCTGATCCTCCTGAATCTTTAATATTTCTGCAGTTAAATACTTTCGCAATATTTTACAAACATTTGGAAGAATAGTATCGGCTGTTGCAACCAAGGCAGTTTTGGGAACTGAAGCACGAAATAAAGCATACTCTGTTTTTTTATCTTCCTCAAGAATGCATGCTGTTAATTTGTCTACAAGCTCTAATATTGTTGTATTAGAATTAAAAATCAGCCTTTTAATTTTTGAATTATAGCTTTCAACCCGAGATGTCGATGACATTCCTGCTGTAAATAATTTAAGCACAAATGCTTTTGCCCATGATTCTTTGTTATTATAAAGACGCCGTAAATAATTAACTACATTCTCATTATTATATTTTTCAAGCAGTGATTTCCATCGATATTCAAAAATTGGAACAAAACCAATTTGCTGCACTTCAAAAAAATTTTTGATAAACTCATCATATTGGTCTTTAAGATGATTTTTGAGATTGAAAGCAATATTCTGTGCAATATGGAACATACAATTAAGTGCATTCGTAGTAGGAAATTCTTCTCGTATAGCAGCAACTAGAGCGGGATCGGCGTCAGTAAAAATAACCTGTGGAGTAGCACCATGTGTTGCTTCTTTAATTTGCTGTAGTATCCAACTATGTGTCTCCTTTGTTTCATCATCTGTTAATGCTTGTGCTACTAATCGGGAGGATAAATGGTTGTCAACCACCAAAAAAAGTGACAATGCCATTTCATAACGATTAGTAGCATTAGTATTATCATTTAGAACAACGTCACAAAATTTTAACCATCGTTCAATTTGATCTGGAGACATATAGAACAATCGTCTAAGACATTTGCTGTTTGGATCCCAATCTACCTGAACATACCACCGGGGATCAGCTTCCTTTTTATTTAGCAATTCTTCATACAACCTGCTAACATCATTTGTTTGATCATGTAGTTTCGGACGAAATCGTTGGATTACTCGTCGCAACACTGGCATATAGACCTTTATGAAATATTTTTCCTCCAAAGCTTTACGGACTTGCTGAGGACTACAATTCATAGTTTGTACAAAAAATTCAACATCCTGAATCATCTCCGTGGTAAACTCTATATTTTTCTGAAAATTGTAATGCAATGGATCAAGGTCATGATTTTTATGCTCATTAACTAATTTGGTAATGTATATGAACTTGTGAGGATTCTCCTTCTCCGGACATGACAAATTTATTTGCCATGTACATCCAACACGCTTAGACATAGTTTCTTTTTGTGGATCCTTGCTTTTTGATATTTCAGGTTGGCCGAAGTGTTCACAAACTATCGTACGTCTCCGGATATCACCATTTTTGAACTTTTCTACACGATAACAACGCATCTTAAATCCCTGCCTTTTTTCATACTTTTTAACTTCTTTCAACGCATGGTTCCAGTCATGAAAGATCATACCTTCTCGCAATTCACCAAGTCGATTGTTTTCAACATCCTCTACATCATTTCTTTCACATTCACTTTGAGTTATATCATTTAATACGTTACTACTAACATCAAATCCAGCCTGATTATTATTGTGTAGTACATCAAACTCATTATTCATATAATTCAAGTCACGGAAGGTTGGATTCGCCTGAAGTTCCTCCTGGTAAGCACCTGAATTAATTATAAAATTGTTTTCATCTTGATTCCCAAAATCAAAATCGGTTTGGTAATTTTCACATAGTTCATCGATTCTATTAGTCATAGAGTTCCAGTCCCAAAATGCTAGATTTGTTTGACCGTCTTCATGGTAGGTACTTTCAGAATTCACCATAATGTTGGTTTCGTATCCGACTTGATTATCATTATACAAAGTGCCGTTACTAATGCCAATTCCGTTTATTTCATTGTTCCAATCACGAAACGTCATATTTTTTTGAACATTCATGTGGTATTCGATCCGATTAATTTGCAGTGTGTTGTTATTACTGGCTTGGTTATGATATCTCTTGTTGGACGACGTCAAACGTGTGCAAAAAAATAGAAAAAGTAATTGAACTTTATTGATTTATTTTTTATTTATATTGATCAATATAATTTATTAAACTATTTATTAATTACATCATAAGAAAGGATCGTGCTACGGCGCTATAGCACCAAAATGCTATAGCACTATACTAATATTCACATTTTTTTTTATACTGAACAAATTTTACTTAATAATTAAGCTTAGTTTATTTAATAAAAAATTAAGTTTAATATGTACTAAAAATTAAAATTGATATTTATACTAAACCTCTATTAAAAAGTGGGTTTTAGTACAAATAAAAAAATCTCAAAATTTTTTAAATTTAATTATTTTAAAAAGTACTGCATAGAATTTTATGATTTTTTTTTATTTAAAAGCCTTAGATATAAGCAATTTTTTAAATAACTTTGAACTTAATATCTTGCTTATATAAATTTTAAAAAGTGTCCACAATAATATACTACCTCTCTGTATATGAGTTAATATACATCGATAATAATAAATTTACTCAATATATATATGCAAAAGTAAACTGATTATATATATGAAATCACCCACCTAGGGTTAGCTTTATTGATATTTAAAAGTAAGTATGAAATTATGTGGATATGCTAATTTTTTAGACAAAAAAATTATATATATATATGAATGCTAAGGCTTATGATCAAAAAGAACATATAATATAAGCAAGTTTCTTCAGATATAAAGTTTATACCTAACACTATTTATTTTTTTTCTTTTTCATTAATTATATCTTTAATACACTCTTTCTTTAGAATTACAAATGTCTTTGATATAACAGTTCTAGAAGGTCTGTAATATTCATCTTAATCATCAGAATTATCAAAAAAATTTTTAAAATCAACATCATCTTTCTTGTTTATTATATTAAATATTTGTATGATGATAGATTTCGCATATAATATTTCTTTTAGAGCAAAAGCAAGCAGTTTAGATTTTAATAGATGATCAGCAATTTTATAAACCTTTCTGAATTGAATACAAATAATATATTCCTTAGAAAGGTCAACTATCATGATCTAAATTCTGTTTGCTCTATTAAGTATTCTGATTACTTATAATTTCCTCACAAGATCTTCTTTCATATCACACTCAATGACAAGCTGGTTTAACATATCTTTTAACATTTTATATATTTTTAGTGAATCTGTTATATATATTCTGTAATATTTTAGCTACTACTTTTTATAATAATATCTGCAGCTATTTCTTGCTAAGCACATTTAAAAGTATATATATCAAACCAGATATCTGCTGACTAGCTAGGTTTCTACATAAAAGAGTTGGTATTACATTGTTAAGCAAACCCTTTCACTTATTTTCTCAGATAATACTAATTTGTATTTCAAGCCAGTTTTCTGCTATCACTACTGATTTACAAACCTCAGATCTTATTTTTATCTTATATGGCTGATAGTATTAGCTTATTCTTTTAATGTATTTTCTGCAATAGTAGTGTTACAGTACTGTGGCCTTCTTAACAGCAGTACTATAACAATGACACGGCTACAGGGATCCTTCACAGGTTTATAG